CTTCTGTCTTTCATGGTCATGGACATTAAAACAAACGGCAACGACGGAAGAGAAAGGTACCAGCGACGGTCGTGAAAGGAAGAAAAAATACTAGAAAGCTAAGAGACGAAGAAGGGCAGTTCACTGAGGAGGACAAAGACGATGACACAACCTTGGCGAAGGAGATGACCATCCATGAAGAAGCATCTCAAATTCCTCCAATGGTGTAGAGATTGGTAGAAGCTTTAGGAGGAGGAGAAAAGAGTGTCATGCCACTTTTGGAGAGCATTGCTTATATATATGGAGAGCCCAAGGGAGAAGCTTGAGCAACTTCTGGAGAAAGAGAAGATTGAGAGCTGAATGTCTCATAGTATCAACTCAACTCTTTGTGTACATAAAGAACTCATCAGAGTATAAGAAGAGAAGGAGGATCCTGGTCATTGCACAATCAATTGTCTCATAGATGATTGCACAATCAATTGTCTCATAGATGACCATTATTTAGAACAATGATTAGTGGATCTTGGTTCTAGCATCAACATCCTACCACCTCCACTCTATGAAGATATGGGTCTAGCCGATATGGAGTTACAAAGGACATATGAGGAAGGTAGATTCCAAGGGTGTCCCCACCTTTCCCATCATATTTTAGGGTAAATTCATATCATCTAGCATTACAATAGGGACGTTAATATACCGGCAATAGAGATTCACAACGTGAAGCTGTTGCGCACAAATTGCTAATGCACTATCCAAATCCACACACAACACAACATACTCAATGTCCATTTCATTATCCAAATACGACAAGCAACAAAAAGGCTAGAATGCGCCAAAAAAGTGAGATCCGAACTCAGAACCAAGCCTACAACCAAACCCCCTGCGGAGTTCACAACATCAATAAACAAACAATAATTAAAGCCTAAACCCTTGCATACAACGGGACACTACTCTCCTACCCGACCTAGTCTCTGAAAAGAAAACCAAGTCTGGATTATTTGACCTAAAAAGACCTACAATATAATGGATGTAAGAGAAGGTCTTATTCCTCTTATATTCCAAGCAATCATCTTCATTTGGAATCTTGAACCCATTCACGGCTTGTGATCTCCACCGAATCAACCAGAGTCTTTGTTGTCTCATTTTCTGCCACTCTTGCTTTATTTACTGTTATGGGTTCTGGAAGGAGATCATCAACCACATCAGTTGGTCGCTTTCTCCCCGAAATCATCTTCAGGATCGAGAGCACCCACTGTAAAATCTCATGTATCCACGACTCTCTTTTCACCCTGATGCTAAACATCAGATGTGCCATTGCTCTTCAGCCGCTGCTCTGACTTCATAAACTATTGTTGCATCCCACCACCCCATACTTCCTCGCTTTAGAGCTCTGGAGAGGCGACAGAACAATTGCGCTCTGCTTATCGCAGAGCTCTCTACCTAGAGTCTTGCTAGCATACCCAAGCTCGATCCACGTCCAGGTGTGGAGAAGCTCCCTCAAGCTAAATCATTGCTTCGACACCCAGGACCAGCCCTCCAAATTATGGAGCCCTCCGAACCTCCATCGTGTATATGATTAATTACTATTACGGACTATTGGGTTTCAATTATGAATTTAGAATGATATAAAATTTATGAATTAGATGTTGATTATAGGTCTAAAATAATAATATTAAAAAATTTAAGTCTGAAGGCTAAAGGAACAAATGAATCACATGAGGGGAATACTTGCATTCTTATTAGACTTTTTTCAAACCATATAACGGAACTCATTTTTTCGTTTGTTTCTTATGGGTGCAAGCTTTAAATTTATAAGTCGAAGCGCACTCGCTAGTCAATCCTAACAAGGCCAAGTATAACCTAGCTAGGGATGCAGTAAAGCGGCTAGGACGTATTCCAAGGATCACGGTATCCTAGGCTACTTAGGCTCAGTCATTATCTAGTCAACATGTTGTTTGGCAGGTGGGCAGTTGACTATTCCTAAATGAAAGATCAATAGATAAGAAGAGGTACTCAGGGTATTCCCTCACCCTAGCCTAGGTCTACTATGCAATGTCTGATAAATAGAGTTTATCGAATGTCGTGAGTGAGCTCTTTTTCGTGGGCTTTCATGGTTATCCGCACACCATGTAGTATAATCTTGGTCGACCGCCCTTAAATCCACCAAGGGGGATGTACAACGATGTGGCCTAGGTTTGGCAAATGGTCGCAAATGGATCCTATTCTAAGAGAGCGTAAAAGTCGAGTTGGACAACAAATGCACTTGGAACCTACCTTCCTTTTTCTTCGAATTGTGGCTCCATGTAGGAATGATCTTCCCCTTTCTCGACGCTCTTTTTTTCTTCCAAAATGTGGTCCATTCCCAAAGAACTTGCTTGCTCATTAGTATCTCGGGAGCTCTCCAAGATGAGTCCATTTTGTTTCTTCAAGTCTTCTTGGCTAGCCACTTCGATTTTTTTTCTCTTCAAAAGGTAGGGGATGATTGCAAGCAAGTTGTGCACACGCTTGCTTGACAATCTCACCTAGTCTCTCTGTTCTTCAGAATGTCTCCTATGTTGTTCGTAGTAAAGAATAGTCGATAGGAGTGGTGTTGAGGACACCACATCGGATCATGCTTCGGTGTTATGAGTGAATCTTTCCATCAAAAGCTCCATTTGGCTTTTTGGCTCCGAGTGTGGAAGATTTTCTTCGTGATATTTGGAAGCTTCTTGTAGTTCCCAATGGTATTGTTGTTCTCCTTGGAAGGGGGTTCATAAAAGAACCTGAACCCTTGACTTCCCCAATCTTGATTGTTCTATGAAGCTTCGGGGTAACCACCCTTGGGTTTTGGTGAACACCCCCACACTTTGGTGAAGTCATAAGGATCCATTATTCAAAAGGTATAAACAATAAAAACACTTAAAAGAAGATCAAACACACACAAACCACCCTTCAGAGAGAAGAGTGGGTAAAAACGAAGCAGAAAAAGGAACAACGTATTATTTAATATTACAAATAGTAAAGACAAGAAATAAAGACTAAACTAACAACCTAACTCTTTCAACTAGTTATCGTAATTCCTCGGCAGCGACGCCAAAAACTTGTTGGGTGCAAGCTTTAAATTTATAAGTCAAAACTCACACACTAGTCAATCTTAACAAGGCCAAGTTTAACCTAGCTAGGGATGCAATAAAGCGGCTCGGTCATATTCCAAGGGTTACAATACCGTAGGCTACTTAAACTCGGCCATTATCTAGACAACCTGTTTTTTGGCATGTGGGCAGTTGATGATTCCTAAATGAAAGTGTTCATCTAGTTGATTTTAATGTTTCTCTAGCTTTAATTGTGTTTGGGTAAGTCGCCCTAATCTTCTCTACTAGCCTACTTGAGCTTCTATGCTGGGTATGGAGTTTTCGGGTTAGACGGGTATGCGTGATCAAGCAAATTAGGGTTAGATGTATGAATAGGATCCTAGGGTGGACGAGGCCACCGTATCCCTATCATAGGAATGCCTTCCTAGATAGAACCCGAGATGAAACCTCGGTGTGGACGGTGGGTAGTACCCATTGAAATGAGCTATCGTCTTAATGCCCCACATACGATAGGCTAGATCGTGGTGACTGACATGGGTTTAGGGGAGGCGTACTCGGAGGCATGTGGATAACCACGAAAGCCCACGAAAAAGAGCTCACTCACCACATTCGCTAAACCCAACTTATTTAGACATTGCATAGTAGACATAGGCTAGGGTGAGGAATAGTTTCGGGGACACACCCTACCTCGGGAGGAAAATAATTAAATTAGGTACAATTGTTAATTGATAATGAAAATTAGGTTGTGTCTAATTGATAATAGTTGATCGAAATGTCTTGTATTCGAATTTTGGCGACCTCATTTGTTAAGTACATACAATATTCAGCTTTGTGCAAACTTCAATTCCATATAATTTGACTTTCTTATAAGGAGGTGTTTTAGTAAATGGTATATGATATATTATTGAACATCACTCAACTACTCTAGTTATTGATACTACGGTTATTGACAAAAACGTCATTTGAAAGCGAACGACTAACTATTTTATGAATAAATGTTTGGTACACAGAGAGAGTGATATCCTTCATAGTTTTGACTACTAATGTATTTCAATTTATCAGAAAAATTTAAATATAAGGTCATACTATGAATAATAAGAAATTTAACAAAAACTAATTTTTCTTATATATGTTTTTGAAGTGGATCCATCCTAATCGAAAATCCTGACTACGCCCCAGATGGGTTAGTTATTGAAACGTGCTAACTATTGACAATGACTTGCACAAAATGAATCGATCACTCCCCGACAAGGCGGCAACGACAGATGCATTGATGGTGGCACAAAAGCTGCGATGAGGGACGGATTGACAATGGATCTCCGATCTTTTCTCAGAAGAGGGATTCTTCAAGATCTGTATATGAGCTGACAATGGTTTAGCGATTTGGGAGGATGGATGGGTTGAGGGAATCAACAGAGGAAGGTAGGAGGGTGGGGGTGGGGGGATTAGTGATTTTCCTTTTAATTTTAATTTTGCTTCTCTTAATCCATGTGGATTGGTGGAGATAATATATCGCCAACTCAGTTGTCATTCCAGTCATACCGTTAAAGGGATGGACGGAAATGACTATTTTGTATTTTCCAAAATTTGTGACTATATTTGTCCCAAATATGCAAGTTGTGACTATAAAAGTGTATTTTGCCTAAATTTATCGCCCAAATCAATTGTATTTAGTATTCACCCAAATAACCTGTGTCAATCAACATATGTTACATATGGGCTGGAATTCTAGCCCAAATCCTGCCAGGCCCATTCAAAAAACAAGCAGCGTTCTCCTTTCTACGCTCGTCGTAATAGTTCAGAGATTGAGAAAGGAGGTGTTTTAGTATGCTATATAGTATGGGTGCTTTATTATGTTTATAGCCCTTAGATTTTGTTATAAAATATCAGCCATTGGATTAAAGTTATTTAAAAATTTTTTTTCACCCGTTGGAATGGTAACCTATTGCACCGGTTCGTTGCATAATAATTAAAAAAAATAAAATCCAGTCAGGTAAAGCGATTGAGCTCGTCGAATCTCAGAGCCTCTCTTCCATGGTGGGATTTCAGAGCGTCGTAGATAGTGATGGGGTTGATTGGAGGCGACGACGATGACGAAACTGCATCTGAATTAGGGCGACGACGACAACGAACCTGCATCAAGGGGCAATTGCGACGGCGACGCTGTGAGAAGAAGGAGATTGGGGGTTTCAAATTTCCTCTTCCGCGATTGTGGACTATGCTCTTCCGCGGTGGGTCTCTTTGACGATATTGAAGTGGTTGAGCATCGGCGACGGGAACTGTGAGATTGGGTTTCACGGCGGGTCTCTTCTGGTTGTGCTCTTTCGCGGTGGGTCTCTTCGTCAATAGTGAAGGGGTTGATTAGCGAGTCACCAGATGGAAGAATTGGAACAAGATTCAGAGCTGCTTGATTGAGGGCAATGATGGCGGGTTCTGTTCTGTTCTGTATTTTCCCCTCTTCCGTTCTGTTCTGTACTGGGGTTTCCAGTTTTAGCCCTTCTCCACTCGCCATGGGCGATGATGGCGGGTTCATACAAAACCTAGCTTGCTTCTTCTATTGCCTTCTTGCTAGCTCGTATTATTATTTTCCATTGCGTTTCGATTCTCCTGTTTGCTTCATCCGCTTTTGCATTCACTGTAATCCAAATGCACAACCGATATTGCCGCCGGATTACTCAACCAGGCAGTTCAAAACAACATCCACCAAACCCCTCCTCTCAATTCCGCCGCAAAAAGTCCCTGTAATTTCTTCCATCGAATTGCCGACAAACTAGCTCCGAGGTCTGGTTTTCTCTCCCCGCCAGGTGTTATTCTGCCGCCTTGGCCTTGGAAGCCCGGCTGATATCCAGCTACCACTCGTCTTCCTCTGTCACTGAGTTCTAGGGTTTCTCTTTTCCTTTCCATGAAACCAAGTTCCTTCATTTCGTTGCTGAATTCTGATTCCGTTCTTGTAATTTTACTGTGATGGATCAGATGCAGAAGCATTTGCCTAACAAGATTGAAGATGAGCAGCGCTCTGCTAATTGTCCGCTTCAACCTGCCGCAGACCTCCATCTGGAGGTGCAAGACGTTGATCTCCATTCCAACTCTACTGTAGAAGTAAAGGAAGAAGCAAAGCCGGCATTTTGCTCTGCGCCCTCTGTTGCCGCTTCTCAACCTAGCTGTGTGGTGGTGGTAGTTAATGAGGAGGATGAGTCGCCTTTGCCCTCTGCTCCGGAGCCTCCCACGAAGCCCTCTCTCTCTAGGGATCCAAGTTCTCATGAACAGTGCAGGTATATATATGTCCTTAATGTAGCTTCTTTTGATTGCCTGTTTTTGCACGATAACTGCAACAAGCCTAGTTTGATAAGAGCAAAGCGGTTTGCAGTTTGCACTGCCTGTAGCTGACTGAAATTCTTTTTTGAAATTGCTTTACCTCAAAGAGTGTGTCAGCAAGAGAAGGAAGAAGTTCTCATTGATTTGGGGTGCAAATGTAAAGGGGGGCTTGCTAAATCCCACCGTTCATGCATCGATGCTTGGTTCCGGACGAGGGGATCAAATAAGTGCGAGATATGCCAGTAAGTCGATAATTCTCTGATCTCAATCCATTTCTCGATTGAAGTGAACAAACAAATTCCTATGCAACGGTGTCACCCATGATGTTCTCCTTTTATTTTATGTTACAGAGATATTGCAGTCAATGTGCCCCCTCCAGAATCTCAACCAAGTGTAGGTATTCGATGCCCCCTGCAATTGATAAAGCCTGTAATGTGGATTTCCTTTGTGTAGAGTAGCACTGTTTCTCGGGCTGAAATGTGCATATACATCCCTTGGATTTGTTTCATTGGCCACTGATTGTGTGTAGCTTACTTAACTATGCCAAAGTTCATAGAGTGAACTTTACAACCGCTAAAAGTAGACATAAGTCTGGAGTCTGTCAAAAGCGTCCATTGGTAGTCATTGTGCTCTTTCTGCTAATGCCTAAGATTCCCAGTTCGTTTAGTTTTGTGTAGCCTAAAAAACTACGTTACAAAGAAACTGAAGGTTGTGTTGTTTGCAGCAGACAAACTACTGGGTGTGGAGACTTGATCCAAGTTACAGACCTCGAGACAGGGAAAGGGTATGTGGTGGGGGGTTAATCTCCTCTCTTCTTTCGTTCTTTCTGCATTCGGTGCTCATTCATTCTTTCAGTATGAAATTGCAGTGATATCGTTTTGGGAACAGGGTTGTTTTAGTCCTCTTTGGGTGGCATTCTCGATTCTTATCGGTGGCCTCATGTTGGATGTGCTGATCTCCTTCACTCTTGGAGTTTCTGCTCTACCTGTCAACGTAATAATTGGTAAGAAGAACAGTTCGGTGTGATTAATTTGCAGGGTTGCTGAACTATGGAACTTTTTCATAAGCTATGGTTATACATGCAGGAGTGATTGTTCTGCTTGGACTTGGAACAGCACTTCGGTTGGCTCTGGAATTCTGCCATGAATGGAGTTTCAGGAGAGCAGTTCACAGGGTTGATGCGAATGTGAACCTCGGGTATCATCCCACATTATAGAGCACTTAGGCCCCTGTACAGAGAAGAAACACAGAACCAGATGGACCGGCTGTTACATCCTGTCCAGTGTATATAACTATATATAGTTAGGGGAAACTGGCGTGCATGCTATCTGTTGTTTATGCTTTTAGCACCACCACTACTCATTCCCGAATCGAGTGTGGCTGCTGCAGTGAAAGGCGATTGTGGTCAACTGTGGAACAAGCCCTTGTAAATGATGAAACAGCCAAGATTGTGAAGCTGATCTTCTTTTCGCTAGGACATTGATTATTACTTTCAATAAACGGCCAGTTAGCATTCTTTGTTCTCAATGTTCATTATAGAACTCGTTTTCATAGCAGATTTGGAATTAGGAATACAGCAGGGTTGCTCATTTGTTCAATGTTCTTTTCCCTCTGATAAGTTAGTAGAATGTTTTTGGTAATGTACATGCAAAACAACACTTTCACTGTGTGCTTGTTAGAATTCTGGGTCTCAACTCTCAACCTCTATAATGTAACTTGAAACAGGTCTCTCATGGATGAAAGGGGAAGAATTATACACATGGAGTTGCGAGAATTATATCACGGCCGTGAGATAGGCCGTGAGAGTGACAGTGGATGTAAAAACGCACTTCTCAGTTTCCCAGAGGTTTTCACGGGTTCCCTTCGACAGTATCACGGCCGTGAGATGAGCCGTGTTTTTGGATATGGATGATGGGCATCTCACGGCCCCTTTGTAAATTCTCACGGTCGTGAGAATAAGCCGTGTGATTGTCTGGAGATTGTCTGGACATATGAAAACTACTCTTTGCTTGTCACGGGTCATGTCACGGCCGTGAGATGAGCCTTGTTTCCTAAAAATTGTACCTACACTTTCTAGAGTTGTACCTTTACACTAAATTTAAAGTTGTACCTACACTTTCCTAAAAATCTTCTATGGTACAATTAAAAATTGTACCTATACACTATAGTACAACTTAATGTTGTACCTACACTTTCTAACAAATCCCTCTATGGTACAACTCAAAATTGTATCTATAATAATGGTACAACTTTTAGTTGTACCTACACTTTCTCAAAATCCTTCTATGGTACAACCCAAACTTGTACCTACACTTTCTAAAAATCGTTCTATGGTACAACCCAAACTTGTACCTATACCATGGTACAACTTTAAGTTGTACCTACACTTTTTCAAAATCCTTCTATGGTACAACCCAAACTTGTACCTATACTAATGGTACAACCTTAAGTTGTACCTACACTTTCTCAAAATTCTTTTATGGTACAACTCAAAATTGTACCTATACTAATGGTACAACTTTAAGTTGTACCTACACTTTCTAATAAATCTCTTTATGGTACAACTCAAAATTGTACCTATACTAATGGTACAACTTTTAGTTGTACCTAGACTTTTTCAAAATCCTTCTATGGTACAACCCAAACTTGTACCTATACTATGGTACAACTTTAAATAGGTACAAGTTTGGGTTGTACCTACACTTTCTAACAAATCCCTTTAAGGTACAACTAAAAATTGTACCTATACGAATGGTACAACCTTAAGTTGTACCTACACTTTCTAACAAATCCCTTTATGGTACAACTAAAAATTGTACCTATACTAATGGTACAACCTTAAGTTGTACCTACACTTTTTCAAAATCCTTCTATGGTACAACCCAAACTTGTACCTATAATATGGTACAATTTTAAGTTGTACCTACACTTTCTAATAATCCCTTTATGGTACAACTCAAAATTGTACCTATACTAATGGTACAACTTTAAGTTGTACCTACACTTTCTAATAAATCTCTTTATGGTACAACTCAAAATTGTACCTATACTAATGGTACAACTTTTAGTTGTACCTACACTTTTTCAAAATCCTTCTATGGTACAACCCAAACTTGTACCTATACCATGGTACTACTTTAAGTTGTACCTACACTTTCTAAAAATCCTTCTATGGTACAACCCAAAATTGTACCTATACCATAGTACAAATTTAAGTTGTACCTACACTTTCTAACAAATCCCTTCATGTACAACTAAAAATTGTACCTATACTAATGGTACAACCTTAAGTTGTACCTACACTTTCTCAAAATTCTTTAATGGTACAACCCAAACTTGTACCTATAATATGGTACAATTTTAAGTTGTACCTACACTTTCTAATAAATCCCTTCATGGTACAACTCAAAATTGTACCTATACTAATGGTACAACTTTAAGTTGTACCTACACTTTGTGAAACAAATTCTTCAATGGTACAGCTGAAACTTGTACCTATACTAATGGTACAACTTTAAGTTGTACCTACACTTGTATACATTGATTCATTATTTACAAGATTGCCATTAATGATGTGGGACCAGTCATTTAGTGGGTTTACCTCCTTAACAGGTCACCTTTTTTTTTTGTTTTTATAGCATGGGTGCTATAGAGCACACTAGAAGGGCTCATTGAGAAAGAGCATCCTATCCTATCCTGTTCCCACACCAAAGCCGTGTGACCGGAAACCCATTTACCGGCGGAGTGAGATCGGAAAACCCGAGGAGAAATGGGGAGAGAAGTGTCGGAGAGTTGCATCGACAGTTTACTCACCGAGATGGTGTCGTCGTACTGCAACCGTTTCTATGCCAATAAGCCTGAGCTCGCCGCCCGCAGGATTGAGGCCATCGGTTATCAAGTCGGTCACCAGCTCTCCGAGCGGTAAGCTGTCAATTCCGATCACTGTCTGTGCTTAGAACATCGGATCGGAGCTCCAACCGTTCTTTCCCGTTTGTATGTGTTTAGCTTACGGTTACTTCGCGATTTTCCTTACTCTGCTTGGCCTGGGAGAGTGTGGAGGAAACTTTGATTCTTCAGATCTCGTTTTGTTTCATGTCATTTGGGTTGTGGTTCGAGTGAATTGGATAGAGAACATAGTGCTGAGTGAGAGGTGATAATTTTTCTGGTAGTTTGGTGTTTGTGTTAGGTATACGATGGAGAGGCCTCGGTTTAGCGATCATCTTGAGGCAATTAAGTTCATCTGCAAGGACTTTTGGTCTGAGCTTTTCAAGAAGCAGATCGATAACTTGAAGACGAACCATAGAGTGAGATTTGAATTCGTCTTCTTTCATAGTTGGCTTTGGTTTCCATGTGAATTTTGGTTGTTGTTGTTGGAAGTGTGAGACGAGCTACTTCCTATCTTTGTGATTTTGCATTGTAGGGAACGTTTGTTTTGCAAGACAATCGGTTTCGTTGGCTTGCAAGGATGTCATTGGATCCCACGGCTGAGGAAGGAGTTCCTCAGGATCCTGCTGCTTTGGCTGAAAGTAAGGCTGCTCAAGCAATGAGCATGTATCTCTATTTCCCTTGTGGGATTATTAGAGGGGCTCTTTCGAATCTCGGGATCCCTTGTGCGGTTTCTGCTGATATATCGAACCTTCCAGCTTGTGAGTATCCTGAATCATATGTACTTTGCGTAGTTATGCATGCTTGTTCTCTGTGCTCAAATGGTCATTGCCATGGTCAGTTGTGAGTTCGTCAAGACTTTGTTGATATTCTGTTTAAGGAAAACCGAATGTCTTTTATTCTTATCGTAGCATGTTTGTCCTTCAATTGCTTCTCTTTCAGCAAATTATGTTTCCTCCCATAAAGCCTTATTAGAAGATTGATTTTACAGCCTGGTGAATGTCGAATTCTCTACTGAAGTTTGGATAGATACAGTTCTTTGGTTGCAACCCAAATGTCTTTTATCTTGTCAGAACCCACTGCATTCTCCTATCCATAATGTCGATGGATCATTTGTTTGACTTATCATTTGTGATCTGCTTGGATATGAGTTATACTCTGGTTCTCATAGTTCCAAGTGGCTCTTGATATTACTTGAACCTACAATGTGTCAGCTATAGGTCACTTACTGCTACATGTAGTGTGTACTTAGGCTTTCTATTCGATGGAATTTGAGTTTAGATATGGTATTTAACCCTTTCAAGACCCTTATGTGCGTGATCCATTTTGTGATATTGCTCCCACACCAATATGTAACCTCTAAGCCATTGTACAAGTCATCCTGACTTTCCTGATCGACATGTTCTTCCCATCTTTAATCACAAGTCACAATATGTACTCAGGCAGAGCATGAGAGATGCTTGCCCTTTAACTCAAAAAACTTTTTTAGTTTTTACCCAGTACTCTTCTTAGTCAAAGCACTGCATTCTGATCATTGCTATGTTTGTCATGCTTGTGAACCCGTAATCAGGTTCTTTCGTGGTTCGCATAAAGGCCTGAAGATTCTAGCGGAAGGTGGCATGAATGGAGAGTTTAAGCCCTCGTATGCAAGCTCACGTATCAAAAGACTTGTTCATCCCAGTTATCTCCTGAACGCCTGGTGGAAAAAACTGTACACACAGGTCAGCTGTAGCCTTTCTGACGGAAGATTGCTTTGGTGAATCAGAAACAATTATTGCGGATCCTATCATAGACACCATTTATGTTTGCAAACCACCTTATGAATTGAAAGGGATACTAGATGACATTATTCCTTCTAACTGTTGCTGGGGGCGTGGGATTGCAATAGTTATATGGGTGGGGGCTGTATTTAATAGTAGTACTGTGTAACATTGAAAAGTCCTCCAAAATCCTCTATCCCTATCTCTTTGTTGGCTTCCCTAGCGTACTGTTTGTTTCGGAGGATGCAGGGATCATAACTGGTGCTAGTGACATTGAGATTAGGGGCGTTCTAACATGGTGCTTGACAGTTGAATTGAGTGTTCTGCATTCCATTGAGGCAGAGTATCGTGCTAGAATGTACCAACTCTGATGTGCATTAGAAGTCTAACTGGACCGAAGCTAGCTTTGTTGTCATATCTCATAGAGTAAGAGCAATCTTCATCCATATTCAGTGTGTTGGATGACTTAATCATGCATATCCTTGCATCACAAGTAGTTGTGATTTATGAGTGGATGACTTGATGAGGAAGTTGGTGAATAAATGTTAACGGGACATTGCTCATTAAATGTTTTGACAGGGTGCTATTAATGTCAAGTGTTTGGGGATTTTATTTGCAGCCTATAATAGTGTAGAGCCATACCGTAGGCATGGGGAAATCAGCAGTTAATGAATGGGGACAGGTTACTACATTTAAGTCGATCTGTATTGTGTTTCTTACTCTAAATTTTTACGGGATATATCTCTTTCTTTTTAAGCCAGGGTTTAATTTTTTCACATATAAATCAAATTAATTTTGTTATTCAAAATGATATACTCTTTGATTTATTTTTGGAATAAATTTTTTTTGAGACATTTAGTATCGGTCTATGCTATGGTGGTATTGTTTGGTACTACATAAGAGCATACCAAATAGTATGGAAGTGTATCATGATGGTATGAACATACGAGACTGTAGAATGGTTGAATACATGATAATAGGAATATACTAATTGTCATATACAACTTTCAATATTGTGTACCACAAGATACCACCTCTAATCCAAACCAAGGTGGTATTGGGTGGTATTTTTATGTCTGTATTTTTTTTCAGAAATTTGTAGATATAATAGATCATGATGAACTCGTTTCTCCGGTGCAAAAAAAAAAAAAATCAAACTCGACTTAAAAGCGAAGATATCATATGGTATGAGATGGTAACGAGCAGTGGCGGAGGAAAGGCATGAGGAGAAGGGTCCTGGGAGGCTGGGACCCCACTTGGCAAAATTTTGAAAGAAAAATTCATTAAATGAACAGGTTTTGGTTTGATTCTACAGATATTGGACATCATACTTTCTTATACATACTATAACTAGGACCCCAATTAACTCAAAATTTATTAGATATATAGATTATAGATTGCTAATTTCTTAAGGACCCAGTCAGTTTAAAGTTTGGTTACGCCACTGATAACGAGTGGTATGAAATCTTTTTTCTTGAAATATATTTGAAAATTTCTCTCATATTGTAGAGAACAACTAACTTGTTCTATTTGTGCAAAGAAATTGAAATTCAGATTAAAACGAAGATAAGAACCAATTAAAAAAACTAAAAATATATATATTAAAAAAACCATTAATTATCACCTTTTAGATATGAGACCCACTTAAAATAAAAACACATATTTAATTATTAAAGGTTATGCACCATAGAGTTGCTAACCCTATCCATAACCTACTTAAACCTGCAAAGCTACACATTTGCCGTCCTAAATAGTAAATACCAATTTCCTAGAGGCAAGTGTACTTATTACTCCCAGTATCTCTTTATGGTCTGCGCACTGGGCAGAGATATTGACAATAGGGCTAAGATCAGGTGACTAGGGGGTCCCTTAGTCACATGACTAAGTAAATCTCAGCCATTCCACTTCATTAAAATCCAACGGTTCAGATTGATCTCATTTAATAAAGGGTAATGTGGTAATTGCATAATTTATTTATTTAATAATTAAATTAATAAAAATCACCGTCTGTACCTCTCCCGCGATGGTCCGTTTTTGGGCGCCGGCAGCTGTTTTTTTTTTTGTGTCCCACCAGACCACCATTTTTGTGCAACTTTTTTTTTTCTGTCCCACCAGACCACCATTTTTGTGTCCCAGTGTGGTAGACACAGAGAGAGAGAGACCAACAATAAAAACCCCAGCCACCATTTTTGAGTCCCAGGCCACCATTTTTGGTGCGGAGAGAGAGGTCACATGACTAAGTAAATCTCAGCCATTCCACTTCATTAAAATCCAACGGTTCAGATTGATCTCATTTAATAAAGGGTAATGTGGTAATTGCATAATTTATTTATTTAATAATTAAATTAATAAAAATCACCGTCTGTACCTCTCCCGCGTCGGTCCGTTTTTGGGCGCCGGCAGCTGTTTTTTTTTGTGTCCCACCAGACCACCATTTTTGTGCAACTTTTTTTTTTTCTGTCCCACCAGACCACCATTTTTGTGTCCCAATGTGGTAGGTAGACACAGAGAGAGAGAGACCAACAATAAAAACCCCAGCCACCATTTTTGAGTCCCAGGCCACCATTTTTGGTGCGGAGAGAGAGAGAGAGAGAGAGAGAGAGAGAGAGAGAGAGAGAGAGAGAGAGAGAGAGAGAGAGAGAGAGAGAGAGAGAGAGAGATTTTCTGGTCGGAAATTTTTTTCCGACGAACATCGTCGCCGGAGAAGAATTTCCCGGCGACAGTGCTACTTTTGTGATGTTTGTTGACATATTTTGTAATGTTTGTATGCTTTGTTATTTTGTAATGTTTGTCGGTTTTTTTTGTAATGTTTGTAAACTTTGTTATTTTTGTGCACCATGTTTGTAAACTTTGTTATTTTTGTGCACCATGTTTGTAATGTTTTTTATGTCTAAAAAACAACCTGGTTGACTTTTGGATGAACCTCCTCTATATAGGGATGGAGCCTCCAAAGTCAACCCGGGTGTTTTTTCCAGTTCGTATGGATTGTCGGTCTAGTTTGTCATTTTTGTCCACCATGTTCGTACTGTTTGTATGTCTAAAAAACACCCGGGTTGACTTTGGGAAGGAGCCCCTCTATATAGGGATGGAGCCTCGAAAGTCAACCCGGTTGTTTTTTCCCATTCGTATGAATTGTCGGTCTAGTTTGTCATTTTTGTCCACCATGTTCGTACTGTTTGTATGTCTAAAAAACACCCGGTTGACTTTGGGAAGGAGCCCCTCTATATAGGGATGGAGCCTCCAAAGTCAACCCGGGTGTTTTTTCTTTTTGTATGGTTTGTATTGTTTGTCAGTCTAGTTTGTATTGTTTGTACAGTTCATACATTTGTAATGTTTGTATGTTTTGTCGCTCTAGTTTGTACTGTTCGTATGTTTGTATGGTTTGTATTGTTTGTCAGTCTAGTTTGTATTGTTTGTACAGTTCATACGTTTGTAATGTTTGTATGTTTTGTCGCTCTAGTTTGTATTGTTCGTATGTTTGTATGGTTTGTACTGATTGTAAATCCGGTTTGTATACTTCGTAATTTTTCATAATACCCAAACTACCCCTGCTATTAATTAAATAGCCCTTCCCACTTTTTAACCATTGGATTGAAGTGTCCAGATCTAATGGCTAGGAGGGGCTTAGTCAAGTGACTAAGGACCCCCCCTTAGTCACCAGATCCGCTCTCATTGACAATATACATTATGAACCCAAATTCTCGTTCATTTAAGCTTTCAAAATATGTTGATGTAGGGTTTTTTTTTTTTTTTTTTTACAAAAGATTTACATGTATTGCTCTTTGAAAGATAGGTTACAAGGCAAGCCAACAAAGAAGCCTAGAAAAGATCAAAACCAAACAAATTCAAGCACGCAGTTGAACAATCTGTGCTTACTAAATAGAACAAGAGAAGAACAAAACACATAAAAGATCAACCCAAAAAAAATCTGCCACTTGAATCAGATCCAGAAGACATTGAAAGCTCGCTTGCAATCAAAGAGCGCCAAGCACAATCAACTCGTCCGATCCAACCGAGTCCATGGCAATTGAACACAACGCCATAGGCCGCCTCCTGGGAGTCGCTTGGAGACGCTCAACACAGTGAATCTCTTGTGAGGGATTACATGGCGGTGGAAAGGGAAGAGGATCAAAATGCTCTGAGCTGAAAAGGCAGAGGGAGACGAGGCACCAATAACTTGGTTAAGGGAGAAGAGGAACCAAACCCCAAAATTCAAGATCTATTACTGCAACCAGAAGGGCCAGACACCACCTTCCTTCCACCGACACCTACCCAGAGGCTGATAACTACCAACAGGGAGAACGGAGGGGAAATCGATGAATCGATTCACCATGCATGTTGATGAACCCACCATCTAGAGAGGAGACCCCTAGATGCATAACCCAACCCCAAGGAGAGCAAATCCAAAAAAGGAACCCTAGAACAAGGCAAGGAAAGGCCATAAAGGCTGGAGAAGCTAAAAAGCTGGAAAATCCGATTGAAAATTGTCATACCAGATGCAAGGAAGCAAGAAAGAAAACAAATAGAAGGAAAGGGCATGGAGCCACCGCCAGTCGCCAAAGGGAGCCAACGGCAGCCCTGAAGAGAAGGGGAAAAAGGGACCTCTTTTAAAGAGAAGGGAGAGCTTTTCAAATTAAAGTAAGAGAGAAGTTTCACTTCAGGGTCGGTTCACTTCATTTTCTTTTGAGTGGAGCCATATATAAATGGTGATATTATTAATTGCTAATATTTTTATCCTTTGAGTGATTTAGGTAAATATTGTTAAAATAAAATATATTACAACAAATACAGCAGGAAAAAAGTTTTACATAAATGTTGTGGGAAGAAAAACAAGCTAGCGCGTTTCCACACGAGCTAAAAAATACAAATAGTTAGCTAAGCTCACGCAGCTAAATTCATATTAGGGCGCCCACTAATCATTGAGATACTGTTAAAGAGAGTTATGTGTGAGAAGAAACAAGCTTGTGGCATTGGGGACTATAACAAGACAACAGGCGCGCATAATTTTAGCAAGTCACCAATCCATCCACATCAATCACCCGCCCACTATGGTTCTGATTATTTATAACTCACACACCCACCCCTACTATCACCAAAGTTGTCGCCTTTAAGAATGAATTGCAACTTCCGAAGAAATTGGAATTTTCTTTTCGCCATGCACACTAACTCATATTGACGCCTCGCTCACACCGGTCGTCTACTTAGCGACACATCTATTATATGAACAAACACAACCATTTGCAACGCATTCTCCATGATTCCTTGCAATTAAACTGAATTTGAGACGGTTGAAGTCGTTACCATTTATAAAGAAAGTTAACAAAAATATTATTTAAAATCATAAAAAAATTATACATGGCACGTACCTAAAATAATATATTTTGTTGGTTGCAAAATGATTTTGTTTATGTGGTTAGTTTTGGTTTTATTAGAATAAAAATACATATTAAATGTAATAATAAGACTACACAAATGAAGATTCATTTAAAAAATTTGAACAAACAATATATTTTCAAGTATCTACATTTTCAAACAATATATTTCTTGAACAATCGACTCATACAAATAATTTCTAAAAGTAAAAAGTACTGCTTAATAGAAATAATCGGTAAATATATTCTTACTTAGGGGGTAAAATCTTGTGGTTGCTGAATCCTCCTGCTTCTGCAGAGTGCAGAGGGCAGTCCAGTCAAAGACCTGTACCCGTCCATGATGCTTGCCCAAAATAGTCTTTTATTCTGCTTTCTGCAATTTTAGTTTCGGAATACTTGCTTGTATTTAAAATACAAACACTGCCTTGCCTGCCCCACATCAAATAACCCACGTGATTTGTCGTTCAAATCAATCCCTTACTCATTTAGTCATTTATTATAGGGCTGCCTTACCTACTTAAGTAGATATTAATCATGTAAATAAATTTTGGAATTTCATTTTGAGCAAATATTCCTCATCCATGGCTTTATGCTTGTATGATGCATTTTTGGTATGGTTCCTGCCTATTTTGATTTGAATACAGCTTTATGCTTATATGAGCAAACTCAGTACAGTTAGGTGTTCAAATGGATTGGTTACCGTGGTAACCATATTAATCGGTAGCATTCGGTTGATTTGGTTTGGTTAATTTGGATAATTGATTTAGTTTGGTTAAACAATTTAACTTATTTGGTTTAGTGGTTTGGTTTGGTTTCAACACTGCTAACCAATGATACACGTAATATACAAAATTATTTATATTTTCATGCGTCCAACCAAACCAAACTTTCGTGATTCCCTAATTTATTTCTATGTGCACAAAAAACCAAAGCATTATGATTTATGTGTCAAAAATTAAATGGGCCTGCCTATTTATTAAACCAAAATATTTTGGACCGCTACTAGACTTTATGATTACGTACAATATCATGACTGTCACCTCAAACTATGTATAGTTTAAGTGTTTTGTAGGAGAACTTTAACTTCCTGGTGAGTGGTATTGGTATGTATTTAATATTTATGTTAAGGGGTTGTTGTAAGCTAACTATATTAGGTGCAGAGATGATGAATGATGTATTAACTCGAACGATGATGATAATCATGGATGGTTAGTCTTATTAATACTGCTTATATATAATGATAGTTTATGATAGTAATAACATGTGGTTATGTTTTATTCATTAACATGATAATTATTTTCATGTAATGTTATGTTATTTGGTTAATCTGATTATCCGATTAACCAAACTAATTAAACTCTGGTTTGGTTAATTTGGTTTTCATGTTAATTTGGACGGTTTGGTTAAGACATTTTATTCCATGGTTAATGAAATTTAGGCTTAATTGATTTGGTTATTACCACAGTAACCATTTGAACACCCCTACGTACGGCTCAAGATAGGGTGCATAACCATGCACCCATCAATAACTAAATCTAGATCCTTCATTCAGAAAATTCAGATCTAAGGATGGAGAATTAAATGTCATTTTTATTTTCCCTTGTTTTCTTAATCGGCTCATATCTTCTTCGTTTTAATTCGGATTTCTATTTTTTTTTTGCACAGATGGAACGAGTTTGTTGCCTCTCGGTACCAACTGCATACCATATGGTATCTTCTTCGTTCTTAATTCGTTTTTTAAAACGTTTGCACATAATGAACGAGTTCATCATGATCTATTGGATCTACAAATTTCTGGGTGAACAAATTATAGGACCAAAAAATGCCACACAATACCACAAAATATCACCTTGGTACGGGGTGGTATCTTGTGGTACACAATGTTAAAAGCCGTAAATGACAATTAATATACTTCTACTATCATGTATTCAACCATCCTACAGTCTTTGTTTGTTCATACCATCATGGTACGCTTTTCAAACCATATGTATGCTCTTATTTTCATTACCAGTTAATACCATATGGTATAGACTAGTAAAAAATGGCTCAGTTTTTTTGTTTAAAAAATATATCAAAATGGATATCATTTTGAAGAGTACAATTAATCTGATCTAACTGACAAAAATTCGACTTAAAAAGAGTGAGAATTCGTCCGTCAAATATTAAGGAGGGGAAAATTAAAGGCTTTCCAGGAGATAAAGGGATGCTGATGTCATACTGATGTGGACCACTTACTCATGGTTACTCACCATAAAATTACTGATATGATCCGTTCCCCTAAGTACAGTAGGCACTGTATTTGCAGAAACAAAGAAAACTCCATGACTAAACAGAAAAGGAAAGGATGGCTTGGCTTGGCTTGGTAATTATATAAAATTTATGTAAAAAAATATTTTATGACATTTCTAGAATACATTATATGTCACTTTATTTAATATTTTATTGCCCTTTATTTTGGAACCAATATTATAGTTTTGGGGCATCATATCATCGGAGATTCGTGAATTCAATCAATTTATGTGGTCCCTACGTGATTTTTTTTTGTAACGTGGCACACCCTTAATCCCGATCACCACTTGAGTGATGTCAAAGTCGGGGCCAAACCACGAGGCTGCCTACTCGATTACACGGCCGAAGCCGGGGGTAGTCTACCTCCAGGAACACCCAAAAGGCGGAATGGTAGCTCGAACTCGTGACCCCGTCATCAGAAGCCGAACTCCTATGATTACAATTTTTGCAATTCATGTACAGACCGTTTGGTACCAAATGAATTGAGAATTCATTTCATTTTGAAATGAATTACTATGTAGAATTCATTGTCAAATGAATTCCTGTGTTTGGTAATCATATTCAATCTTTAGAAATAAATGAATTGAATTCCTAAACCATGTTTGGTATATGTTTAGAATTGAATTAAATTAAAAGTTTCTCCAACTACACCCTTATTAATTTTCGAAAAAACCATATTCATTGAAAATTCATATTCTAAAAAACGTCTTTGGTCCCATACGTAGAATATCAAAAGTGTTCTTGTGTGTTTATATTCTATTAATTAGTTCTTTTCTAATATTTTGTGTATGAACCCTACAATCTAGTTGTGCCTTCTCAAAGTACTGATACACTTGAAGCAAGAATATAAAATAACTATCATATACTACTAGCGTTGCAATCAAATTCTTGGTGACGTTTCTCATACCGCATCAATTGGTAGGGGTGGGCAACGGGAAACGGGTATTTAGGTATACCTGTACCCGTCCCGTTTTTTAAGGGTTACGGGTACCCATATTACCCGTAATATTATAAACGGATGGGACTTGGGATTGTACATTTCTAATATGGGTACCCGCGGGTTACCCGCAAATACCCGTTTGGGTAATATGGGTACCTGTCATACCCATTCAGTACAAAGGCAGAAATTCATTTCAGCCCAGCCCAATTCACTAATTCAGAACCCATTGGCCATTTCGGCCCTTACCCTTTCAATTCCATTTCGGGCCCTTACCCTTTCACTTTCAGTGAGACTCAGCGAGTCAGCGTCTTCGAAGCGAGAGACCTAGCTCGACTTCCTCATTCATTCACCTCCGCGACTTCCTTCATTCACCCTCTCATCGCGTCATCGCGACATCCGACGGAGGCACGCGGCGCCGTCTCACTCTGCTGCACCGCCTCCTTTCAATAGCAGACCAGCAACAGCCAGCCAGGAGCACCGCGAGAGCGATCAATGGAGCTAATCAGAAGTGAGTGAATCGAAACGAGCAACAACCATAGTTCTAAGAGCTACAAGCAGAACTTATAGACGATTCGGTCGAATTGTTCCTTCACTGTAAGGGGTCAGAGTGACAACCACAACTCCATGGCACGAGAGATGTTTCCATGTACAGTTGCTTCAGTTCAAACTTCCCAAAAACAGATATATAATGGGTTCAACACCAAAGCTCAAGGTATGATATGAACAAGGACAACGATCAAGAAACTCAAGAGCAACAACTGTTCACTTCGGTCCGGCAAATTTTCTCATCATTTTCGCGATTACGGAAGCCACCTTTGGGTTTGATTGGTGCTTCGCGAGGTTGGCAGGGTTCTTCATAACTGAATGTGTAAAAATTTGCAAACCAAATATTTGTGATTGGAATGGATTTTGTGTCTTGTGATTGTTAAGCAAGTACAAGTTAAGTTTA